CACACACACTCAAAACACACACACTCAAAATACACACACACACACACACACACACACATACACACACACACACACACATACACACAGACACACACACACATATATATATACATATGCATGCATGTATGTATGTATACACGCGTGTATGAATGTATACATGTATACGCAGGAGACGATGGCCTTTGAGAGAGAATCTAACAATCCTCCGACGTGAATAATGACAAAATCACCAAAATTTTTGAAAAGAACTTCAATACCAGTCGGTGCAACGCAATTCTTCAACGGAGTATTTCGATATAACTCGACAGAATGCATGCAACCCCCACGTCACCAGGCGAAGTGTGTGCCGTGGGAGAGGAAGAGAATCACTTTGATTTGCAACTTCCCCCGACATTTTCTTGCCGTCTGTATGACACCCGGACACCACCTGGATCGTGACGTCAATCTGACGTTCTGAGTATCATCAAGAAGGTCTTAGGAGCCTCTCGCCTCTCGCCTCCCCCCCCACCCCCGTCCCCGCCCCCCCAGCCCTCTCGCCAGCTCGTAGCGTCACCAAACAGACGTCGAGTGTGACGCATCGCTATCTGTTGGGCTGCCACTCAGGACGGACATACCCAGCACGCACTCCCTCGCCGAGGTGACCCTTCGCTCGCTCCCTCCTCCCTCCCCCCCGCGCCTCTCTCCTTCTCCCCCGACTCGGTGCTTCTCTCTATTCTCCTTCCACCCTTCCTCCATTTCCTCCCTTCCATGCTGTGCCCTGTCGCCCGCTGGTCGCCGTTCCTCCTCGTTGTTCCAGAGTACGTGTTGGTGACTCCCTCTCCTTCGCGGTCCAGTCCCTCCCTCCCTTACTCCCTTCCCCTTTCCCTTACTCCCTTCCCCTTTCCCTTACTCCCTTCCCCTTTCCCTTTCCCTCCCTCGATCAAACTCCTTCTCTCTCTTCCTCCCTCCTTCCCCCTCCTCCTTCCTCCCTCTCTTTCGCCCTCCTCCTTCCTCCCTCCTTCCCCCTCCTCCTTCCTCCCTCTCTTTCGCCCTCCTCCTTCCTCCCTCTCTTTCGCCCTCCTCCTTCCTCCCTCTCTCTTTCCTCCTCCCCTCCCCACCCCTCCCGAGACCTGTTGCTGAACTCCCGCCAGAGATGTTCTGTGTTGCAAGCGCCTCGTGATTACGGATCATTTCAATTTCCCTTTCGCTGTGTGTCCGTCCGTCCGTGTGTCCATCTGGCTGCTGTGTGTGTGTGCCTCCCCGCAGCTCGACCCTTCTCCGTCTCCTCGTCATCATCAGCGCCCTCGCCCCCGCTTTACGCAACTCGCCATCTGCTGCTTGCAACGGGATCCATCAGTAGCATGCTATCACAATTATGCACCTGCAAGAACTCTCGCCGCGTGGAGTCTCCCAAGGGGGGGGGAAAAGGGGAAGAGAAGGAGGCGGAGATAAAAGAAAAGGGAAGGAGGTTACGTACGGCAAGGATGAAATAATTTGGGATAATAATATGATGATGAATAGATACAAGCGGGGGTCGGGAGGGGGTGGGGGGAGGAGGGGGCATAATCTCCGAACAGACACGAAAAAAGGGTTCGGGGCGAGTCCCGTTATAATAGCATAATCATTCTAATAACAGTTATATAGCAACCTCTGCAACAAGGGAAGCGAAACAGGGGGGAAAAAAGACAAACCAGAGGCGCGTTTTCCTCGCTCCTCGGCTGATGTTCCGCGGCTTCGGGCACGTTAATTCACAGTTGGCTAAGTTGATTACCTAGTCCAATTACCTCCCATTTTAAGAGTCATTTTTGGGTGCTTACATCTGGGCGACGACTCGGAGATTGTCGAATTAAGAGGCAAGAAGCAGCAGCTGAAGTTATCTTAAGTGATGTTGCGACATGATGCTCCGAAGATCACATGGTCGCAACGGAATGAGGAGGGGGAGGAGGAGAAAAAGAATTGAGGAGGCGGAGAGGAGGAGGGGGAGAAAAAGAAGAACAGGAGACGGCGAAGAGGAGGAGGAGGATAATAAAAAAAAGAAGAACAGGAGACGCGGAGAAAAGAGGGGGGGGGGGAAGCCACAGTCCACAGCAGGTAATACGAAATGAAGGTTGCAACTGGTCCCGAGTAATGTCCCAAATAATCATGACGAATAAAACGAGTAACACTATACGCACCCGATTGCAAAGCGTACAGGGGGAAACCCGACCGCCCCTTCTGCCGAGAAATCCCTATGACTCAGAGAGTTCCTAGCCTGCATATCTGTCCGTTTTGCTTGAGTGAAAGCAGGAATTGCGTAACTCGACAAAGGAACAAGCCGAGTTTCGACGTGACAGACACCCGTGGGTGCGACAGACTAACTAATTTACATAATTCAGCCAATTAACGGCTTCAGCACGCAAGAAGTCTGGCGCAAAGAGAGAAAAAAATGCTATGCCGTATTTGTGCTTGACGTTTATAGCGCCTTCCATTTAATCCACATTTAACACGTGCCTGTATGACAAGTTTCAACAGTACGTGCATGTATGTATATTTGTATGTATGTGTATATGTATGTATATGTATGTATGTATGCATGCATGTATATATATGTGTGTGTGTGTGTGTGTGTGTGTGTGTGTGTGTGTGTGTGTGTGTGTGTGTGTGTGTGTGTGTGTATAATAAATACACACACACACGCACACAGAAAAATAGAGTATGGAGAGAGAAAGAAAGAGGAGAGGGAGAGAGAGAGAGAGAGGGAGGGAGGGAGGGAGGGAGGGAGGGAGGGAGAGAGAGAGAGGGAGGGAGAGGGAGAGAGAGAGAGGGAGAGGGGGAGAGAGAGAGGGGGAGAGAGAGAGAGAGAGAGAGAGAGAGAGAGAGAGAGAGAGAGAGAGAGAGAGAGAGAGAGAGAGAGAGAGAGAGAGAGAGAGAGAGGGTGGGAGGGAGGGAGGAAGGGAGGGAGGGAGGGAGGGAGGGAGGGAGAGAGAGAGAGAGAGAGAGAGAGAGAGAAGAGAGGAGAGAGGAGAGAGGGAGGGAGGAGAGAGAGAGAGAGAGAGAGAGAGAGAGAGAGAGAGAGAGAGAGAGAGAGAGAGAGAGAGAGAGAGAGAGAGAGAGAGAGAGAGAGCGAGCGAGCCTCTTCCTCTGAGAAAGTGCGCCAAGGCAGAGACCAAGAGGACCGAGACGTACAAAAGCCGAAGCGAGGCCCTCATAAAGGCCTCACCTCGAATGTGTCAGCTGCCTCTTAAGCGCTATATGTTTGTTCGTATATAATGAAAATTCTTGCTAGGATGGAGGCATTCCACGAATCCTCTCGTCGCCCTTTGTCTGATGACAGATTCATTTCGCCCGGCGGTGGGGAGGCGCAGTCCCGCATGCTGGCGCTCGGGTTTGCTCAAGACATCCATCAGCGCCCGCGATAACGGAACTAATTAGGCACCGCGGCCGACACCAGCATCCTTCCTCGTCACAGATGCCGGCAGAAGGATCCCTCCTCGTCCCAGATACCATCCCCGGCATCCTTTCTCATCTCAGATACCCATCAGCATCCCTCCCCGTCCGCAGCAGCCTCCCGCATCTTAAATGCCATCACTACTGCAACTACTACTACTGCACCTAGCCATGGACATCCCCCTCCCCGCCGCCGTCATCGCTATTTCCCCGCTCCTCCTCCACACAGCCTTCAAAACTATTTTATATCTGTTTTCGCAAGCACTTTGACTCATTTGCAATTCCTCGGGCAGGCAAATGCCCAAGCACTGACCTGGCCCAACAAAAACATCATTGGTCTGCGCTTGCACCTGAGGGGTCTCAGGCAAGGTAATCCGTAAAGACAGGTCACGTGCGTGTTTTTTCTGCCTCAGTAAGATTACAATGTGGAGAGGAAGGACAAGGAGGTAGAAAGGGGAGCGGGAACGTTTGCGTGCGTGTGTGCGTGCGTGTGTGTGTGTGTGTGTGTGTGTGTGTGTGTGTGTGTGTGTGTGTGTGTGTGTGTGTGTGTGTGTGTGTGTGTGTGTGTGTTTGTGTGTGTGTGCGTTTGTGTGCGTGTGTGTGCGTTTGTGTGCGTGTGTGTGCGTTTGTGTGCGTGTATGTGCGTGTGTGCGCGTGTTCGTGTGTGTGCGTGCGTTCGTGTGTGTGTGTGGACTTATCAATGCATGCACGCATATATTAGCATCCGTATGCTTTAATATGCATGCATATCTTTACATATAAACCCATGTATGTAGATTCGTACGTGTTGTGTGTGTAGATTTATATGCAAATGTTTGTTTTGTCCGATATTCTGCAACAATCTACGACAATGTTGTCATAATCTTTGCAATGTGAGTTTGGACCGCGGTGAATCGCCTTTTATTATTGCACCTATCCCATCATGCAACAATATACATAACAAGAGGCCGCTGTTATGGCCGATGAAACTGTACCAGAAGGGAAAAGGGCGCGCAGTCAAGACCGCCCCTGATGCACCACCGCCAAGCAAATGTTATTTCTCGGTCTCGGTCTGTCTGCATCTCTGCCTGTCCGTTTTTTTCTCACTATCCCCTCCCCTCTCTCCCTCGCACCTTGCCCGCCCCCCCTCGCGTGCATGTCTGGCCAGCGTGTCATCTGCCTCCTCCTACCCAGGTGTCTGGGCCCAGCACCAAGGCCGACCGATCCATCAAGATTGAATCCATGATGCAACAGCGGTGTTCCGGGACAGACGCGACGAAAGGGACATGTGCTCCGTCCCCGCGCGCGTCCCAGAGGCGATAATCGGCGGGATCTCTCAGGAGGACAACACGTAGAGCCGCCCGCGAGTAAACGGCAACTTAAATGAGTACCTCGTATGGGTACTTGTGAATGTAAATGAGTACATGGCGACGCGCGGCTATAAAGGGAACAGTGGGGGCCATTCCGATACTTATCGACTCACGCCAGATTGTTTGGGTGTCCGTGTTTATGATGTGGCTGCACAAACAACTGCTTACGTCACTATGAACACATTCAAAATTCTTTCACATGACTTCACTGATACATTTTCTTGGAGAAATATTGCGTTAACTTAC